GCGGAGGAGGGGGAGGAGTTGAAGTTTTAAACACGATCCTCCTTCCTCCTCCTCCTCCTCCTTCCCCTTTCAGCCAGTATTGGTCCAACCTCGTCAATGCCGCCGCCAGGCCGGCGGCAAACTTTATTTCAGCTCACGTCATCAGTTCTTTACAGTTACTTTTTCGCCGCCTCTACACCTAGCTTTACTTCTTTACGGCTTCGCTCTACTGCGTTTCTTCCGCTCTTATTTTAGTCTTGGCGGCTAGGTAGGTAGGTTTCCGCGGTCGTCATCATTACATCATCTCGAGGTCGCCGCCTTCAAAACCGCCTACTGGTCAGTTCTGCTTCTTGTACACTCTTTCCTTGGCAGCAGCTTCACTCGTTCACGTGATTCGTCTTCCTTCTCCTCCCCGTATTATCTCTCCGCTTTCTTCTTCCCTGGTTTGTGTGGTCGTGTGTGTGTGTGTGTTTTACCCCCGCTTCCCCGGCCGCCCTATTTCAGGACCCCTCCCTGGATGCGGCCAGCCTGAGTCCCCCCTTGGAGACCCCGCCCCTGCCGCTGCTAGTGGCGGATTGCGGCCGCATCGCCTCACACCTGGCGCACAGCTTCCCCTGGAGCGCCACCGCGCAGCTGCACACCGCGCTCAGCCTGCGCCGCCGGGCGGCGGTGTACGGCTTTGACGCCGCCGCCAACGGGTGTGCTGTAGCGCGGCTGCCGCCAGCGGCCCCGACGGCGGCGGCAGGGGCGGCGGGGGCGGCGGCAGTAGCGCCCGCTACCACCAGTGCAGGCGGCGGTCGGCGGAAACAGGTGCGGGTCTGTTTTCTGAGGGTCTTGAAATGTTTCCATAGGGTTTAGGGTTTTAGGCCACACGGGTCGATGTGACTTCATTGTTTAGGACTCACTAGGGGCAGTTTGGAATAATGGACGCCTTCCGGCAGCTCATTTACCACCTGATTTCCTTGCACATGATGACTTCTTCCCCCCCCCCACACACACACATACACATATACACATACCATCGCAGTTGGGGCCGCTTTAGGCGTCGGCCTCGACTGCGGATCCTCCTCCTCTTTGTTTTCTTGCATCATCATCATCAGCAGCAGCAGCAGCAGCAGCAGCAGCAGCAGCAGCAGCAGCATCATCAGCATCATCACCATCAGCAGCAGCAGCATCACCACACGATTCACCAACCCGCCCTCCCCGCCCTCCCCGCCCTCCCCGCCCTCTTCG